CTTCTGATCAGAGTATAACAATAACAAATCTATTTTTCCGCACTCTCTACTGAATTACAACTGAAACTTCTACAGAAATAAAGTTGACCTTTTTCTGGTCTACTCCTGTTTTCTCCAGCACACATAGGGTAAAAATGGAACAGCCTACTTTGTTATTCACTAGTTATGTAGCTCCTGTTTAAAATCAGATACAGGGAGCCTTAGTGGCTGGGAAAGTACAAGATGACTACTTTTGGCAACATTGATTGTAAATTTTAGGTTACGACACAGATAAGTTGTGCAAGCTGATGGATTTGTCTTCTGCACAATTAAATACTATTCCCATGTGGCTGTAGGCTGGGAACACTAATCTACTTGTAAAGATAAATTAAGTGGTCAAATTAGAATGTTTAGTGTTAAAAACAGAGAGATACTTTAATAATCATCCATAATATTCTGTGGGCAGCTTGCTTTGAAGAGTATATCCATTCAAAATGTTTCTTTTTTTTTTTCTTTAAAGGAAGGATTAGAACCCCTGTCAGATTTATTCTGCTATGCAGGATTTTCCCTCAACTGTTGACATGCAAGTAAGAGGAAATTGCCTAACCAGATGCCATACCCCGGATGGCAGTAAAAACCTGAAAAGTGTTCTAATCCTTCACAGTTCTACCCAAAACTAGGTTTTGGCTGGATTTGCCCTTTTAATATAGGGAGTTTTCAGGAGCCATGCTGCATTTGTGCTCCCCTCCAGTGGCGGAACTACCGCCGGTGTGGCCGCACCGGGGCCTCAGCCTGGTGGTGCCCAGCACAGTCACTGTGCATAGATGGTGGGACTTGCCGGCCGCCGGATAGCACCTGATCGGTATCCAGCGGCCGGGGGCGCCGGGAGTGTCGATCATCTGTTCATCAAACACTTCCGGCACAGCGATGGGGGGCGGGCCGCCGGCCGGCGGATACTGATCTCAACATCCCAGATAGCAAGGATAACTTGCTACAAACTTGTGGCAGGGTGAAATTGTAATTTTTGTTAACTTGCTGCACACATTCCTGGCAAGTTGTAGACTTGCAGAACACTTGCAGCACAAGTTCTAGTTGACTTTTTGAATTTGTAGCACATTTGCTTGGCAAGTCTGCAGGAACAGTCCTGCAGGTCTTAGCAAGAGCTCTGCAAGATCGCTGGTCTGAAGACTTGCAATGCAGACCTGCTGTAATTGTGCAACAAAATTGTAAAGCTTGGCAAGTCTGCAATAGTTTAGCAAGTCATTTTCAAACTTGCAGCTCAATTGCTTGCTATCTGGGATCTGACACTCCGAAATGGGGGAAGCGACGCGCTGCGCTTAAATGGGGGGGCCCATTCGCTGGTCGGATAACGAGATTGTATGGGGCCCGCCGGCCGCTGTGAGGGAGTTGCGGAACAAGGAGGCACTGAAGACGGCCCTGCAGACACATCATGGGCAGCCATGGGGCCTTGGACGGCAGTGAGGACCCAGCAAACACACACAGGAAACATCTGAAGACAGAAGAGGTAAGGGTAAATTCATAATTATTATTTGTAGCCTAATGTTGTATAAAGTACTGTTGCAGCAATGCAGAATGGCACCCTCTATAGAGGACTACAAATCTCAGCAGTACTTTATACAGAAATGCTATTATATAAAGTATTGCTGGGATGTGTAGTTCTCCATAGCCTGTGCCATTCTGGATTGCTGTAAATATTAGGGATGCACCGATATATCGGCCGCCAAAACATATCGTATCGGCTGAAAATGGCACTTTTGGCTAAATACCGAAAAGTGCAATTTTTCTTGTAGGTCAGTATTTTCAGATATACATAATATCTACATGTTCTTAACAAGCAGTAAAATAACTTTTAAAAAGCCTGACCCATTTTAGCTGCTTCTTATGTGAAGCAATTTATTTTAAAAAAAACAACGATTTACGTTAGAGGGCTACCGAGATTCTGGTATATTAGAAAGTAACGGAGACCTAAACAAAGATTTCAGTGTCTGTTTAAGCCTGGTCAGGTGAGGAGTGGGGCTGCAGCAGAGGGAAGGCTTGTGAGGCTTGAAGGTGTATGGAAAGGAGGGTTTAAAGTGCCACTGATCACCAATGTTGTGGGATTGTTTTTGCGGGACTTAAAATGTTTTTAACAACCAATGATAGGAGAGGTTGTGGGGGCGGGTTGTAATATGCCACTATCACTGTGGGATTGTTTTGGGAGGGTTTAAGTGCTCCTTGGCCATCTTAATACCATATTCATTTTAAAAAAAAATTGTGGCAAAAAATAAAATCGCCTTGGGTTGTCCACTTTCCAGAAATTGTATGTAAAGGGTGTTTTGTACTGGCATTTTTATTTGCTGTGTTTTATGACGGAAACAAAGGGAAGTTTATTTTTTTTAAATGTTTTTTGTCCTTTTTTTATATTGTAAAAAAATGAATAGGTTATTAAATACGACTAAAAGAAATCTACTTTGGTCTCAAAAATAATATAACATTCATTTGGATACAGTGTTGCATAACCGAATAATTACCACAGCACTGAACAATGGCCTTGAAAGGAAGAAGAGTAGCATGCAGATGAAGGTTAAAAAAAAAAAGTATTTGGCTGGAGTTGGGAATTAAAATGTCAAAGCTGCCTGTGAGGGTCTTTTTAGAATCTGTACACATGAGTGCGCCTCCTGTTTCAATTTTCATTTTGGTGTGGATCTTCTCATTTCCCAGAGGTCCAAACTTTAACATTTGATGATTGTTTAGATGTAATAGGGGTGGCAGTTTATGACCAGTGTGCCGAGCTGCAGCTTAAAAAGTGTATTTCCACTTTGCAGCCACATTGGGATAATGTCTACTCTTTAATTGTTCCTATCCACATAGCATGCCCCATACATTGTACACACAGCTCATTCACAGCATTGCTAAAATGCCGTGCATGGGCCTGAAGCCAGGGAGGATGCATCTGCTGTGTGCATGCACAGGAGTTGCATCATTATTGGCCACCAAATGGCAGAAGAGGCTTCCCATGAAACCTGGAAGGAACAGAGGATTCATAGCACAGTGCTGGTGGAAAGCACATTTGTAAGGTAAGTGTGCCATATTGTGTAAGTATGCTGTGCATACTTGTACATTATGATAAAACCCCACACAGGATGCAGTGGATTTTTATATGGTCATATATTACTGCTGTGAGTGTGAGACAAGATTTTACTATGGTGGAATAGAATCATACTTTGACAGCATAAGTAAAGTAATAGGCATGTGTTTGAACTGTGATTTTTAGCAGCTCTTTAACCAGTTGACATCCGCGGTGTTAAACCCCTGAACTAGCACATATAGGCGATCGGCGGGCTATGGACCCGCAGATCGCCTATATGTGAAACACCCGGTAACGGGTGTGTTTTAATGGTCGGGTCTTTTCTGCCCGTGCGTACCCGCAAATGCAGCAGTGCCGTCCGTCCGGTTTTTTACTACGGGCGGACGGCAAGAGGTTGAAATGCTAAGTCACTTGCGCAAGAGTCCACAGGATCATAAGAAATCAATAGGGTTGTATTAGTGCTTATTCTTTGTTACTAACTTTGTCATAAAGCCGACACTGGAACTTGTCCAAGAGACAAAATGCTGAGATGAGGGGGGTCATAAGTCTTCATATCCTCACAATGCTTGTCTTTAGTGACTGATCTAATGACCTGAGCTACTAGTGTGCAGGGCAAATTGTATACTGAAATTAATACATCAAATACATTCTAAGTTTGTACTTTTGGAAAGACCAAAAAAAAAAAAACAGATGGTTTTTCTCTTGCCTGGAAAGGGTGAAATGTCTGTCTTTACACAGTCACTAATCTTATGTTCTTAACCAGATTATCAGGTTTGCACACATTTTGGCTTGTCATAATGTTTACCTGACACCTGTATTAGCAGCAGACAACTCCAGCTTTCATCAGTTCTTACACTAATACTTGTTGTCACAGATTAACCAGTTGACAAGTTTTTCTTTTTCCATGTGCATTCCTACAAAAGGGAGAGAACAAAACAGGAGGGCGAGAATGTGATTGCTACCACTATACACAGAGGGTCTTGGAATATTTTTAAGCGAGTACAATTTGCTACACTGCCAGCCTATTGGCAAAGTAGTTATTCCTGCTGTCAAGTCAACTGAAGTCTCATCACATTGCAGAGGGATGATGAACTGTGTCAGCCCACGGGCCATTCAGGACTTGATTGCAGAACGTCTCACACAAAACCCAGTCATGAGGAGATGAGAACACTTAATCATGGCTTTTGAAGGGAAAATAATGCATGTCAATGGATGAATTTTCCTTTTTTTTTCTCCTGGTTTAACTGTTTTCTTTTGTTTTTAAGACCATTAATACAATATTTATATTTACGTAAATCTTTTTGGTTTTAGTCTTCTGAAGTTTGATGCTGTTTTTTAGTTTGTGGGGGGGTTTTTTCTTCCTTTTTGGCGTTGACAATTTCACTTATCTAGAAGTTTTCATAGGATGAACATCAGATTGTGCCTAGCAGGGACATTCTTTAGAAAGTATTTTTTTGTTTTAAAAGAAAAAAAAAATCCCACACTTCATTGGTATTCAGAGCAAAATAAAGAGACCCTGTATAGGTGCAGTCATCGGCCTTAGTCTACTGCTAGAGAAAATGATTTATCTGTTCAAGATCCCACAGTCGTAGATAATAGACAATGCTAGACAGATTACACTTCTACCTGGCTTGTAAGAAAAACCTCAAATGTTCTTTTTAAGAATACGAATTACTATATATATTTACACTTTCTGTCTCTGGCTGTAATTGGTGTTACATTTTAACACCTAAGACCCACGTGTAGAATCTGCTAATTCCATTCTTTTTAGAGTTCTATAGCAGTCCTAAAGTATATAACCATTGCTGGCTTTTCAAAGGGATTTAGCTACATGTGAAACCCAAGGGTGATTTAGTATACATTCCAGGTAGGCTAGCTATATCTGTATGGATTTGTCAGTCACTGGGGATGAACCGTGTTTTGTATTTCACAGGTGCATGGCATTGTACGTCGATCAAGCTCTTTCAACACAGGCAGGATTGAGCATCTGTACAAGAATCCACAAGCTCACACTGAAGGGAGTAAGGCTATTTCAGTGTTTTTTATTGTGTTTTTATAATGTTCTCATAACTTTTCAGAAACTTTTCAATACTTTTTATAAAATATATTTTAGTTTTTTTTTTCTATAATGTATAATTATGCCCTATATTGTAATTAAACCATGTAATGCAGCTTATCAGTCCTACCAGATGTGGTAGCGGCATTAGTTTTTTTTTCCCAGGCTTTTTTCTTACTTTTTTTCCTTGTTGATCCTGCCAGTAGCATACTTTTTGTCCTAGGGTGACTATGCTTACTCGCTGTACCGTACTTGTGCAGGAGCAATGTCGCTCTAGGCTGCACCTCCTAATCAGACTGCAGAAAACCCCCTCCTGATCTCCATAACAAAGGAAGGAGGTATAGTTCAGAGGTAAACTGGGTGGCACTGACAACACTGGTAGGCTTAATAGGTTTTTTTTTTGCGCTTATTAAAAAGGTCCAACAAAACTCTTCTGGTGTGTGTGGCATGGCGGTAACAGATCTAAAGAGAGCAAATCAGAGCAGTTCACTGTTAGGGTTTACGTGCACGTTAAGGTTTCTTACAATCAGCCAATAGTGAATGTATACATAGTTCTAGCTTTTATGGTTATGCCAAATATCAGGCAACCCTCATCCAACCACTCATAAATATTACTATGAATAAAGCCCAAATTAAGTCACAGAAATAGATGTGTAATCAGACATAATACTTCATATGTCCCTCAAAATTAATTATCATCCATATCTTACCACCTCTTTCCTGGTTAAGCAGTTGTACAGGGAGTCCTAATATGACTGTTCTGTTACTAATGGCTATTTACTGACACATCCCTACCCTGTTTCTTGATTGTGTCACTCAGCTATGCCAGCATGGATAACTGGAGGTGATTGACAGAAAACAGCGTTTTCACTAACGGGAAATGCTTTAAAATGCCCTTTTTCTAGGAAAAAACTTAAACTGGGCATTAAAACAGAGCTAAACCTTCACTCTATACAATTGTTAGCAGGTACCACTTTATTAAGGAAGAGTATGTATGTCTCTTCTAACATAAAACGTATTCCCCTTCCTGCTAACTTATTTAAAATTGTATACAGACTGAAGTGTATAATCCTGGCCCATCTTACAGATGTTGGGAGTAAGAGGCCGGTGCTGGGATGATGGAACATCCATGCACATGCGCAGGAGTTTTGTCATCTCTGGTTGACCAATAGTTGTAAACGGAAGATCCAGAAAAACATGGCAATGGAGCGATAAGGGAAACACGGGTCTGCAGCCAACACAGATCTACTTTAATAACTGGTGTTCATGTGAAATATTAAACATTCCAAAAAATTCATATAAAAAATCCTGCGGGTGATTTGAGAGGCAATTGTAGTAATTGTGTGCTGAGTAAAGTAGTATTGACGTACTTGAAAAAGTTATCCAATTTTTGATTGCCGTTTTAGCCACCTCTAGGGCCGGTTCCCACCACATCCAGTGCTTTCCGGCTGCTGTACCATGTGTTGTAATGTGGGTGATTGCAGTGCGGGCAGGAAGCGTGGCTCCAATGCCATTGACATGAATGGTACCACCATGCCCCAGAACATGGATGCCTTAATTATGCAATACAGTGTGATCCGGGCACTAACCGCGCCAGAATGCATTGGATGTGGTGTGAACCAGGCCTGTATTTTACAAGTGAACATACTGGCCAAACAGTCTAACATTCCTAAAAAGTTAAAATGCACATGCTATCAAGTAAATCTGTTTAATATACACTCACTGGCCACTTTATTAGGTACACCTTGCTAGTACTGGGTTCGACCCCCCCCCTTTTGCCTTCAGAACTGCCCTAATTCTTTGTGTGGCATAGATTCAAGAAGATGTTGGAAACATTCCTCAGAGATTTTGGTCCATATTGACATGATAGCATCACCCAAAAGTGTGCCAAGAAAATATCCCCTACACCACCGGCCTGGTACAAGGCAGGATGAATCTGTGCTATCATGTTTATGCCAAATTCTGACCCTAGCATCTGAATGTTGCAGCTGAAATTGACTCATCAGACCAGGCAATGTTTTTCATACCTTAGTTGTAATGAGTGGTTATTTGAGTTACTGTTGCCTTTCTATCATCTCGAACCAGTCTGCCCATTATCCTCTGACCTGTGACATCAACGAGGCATTTTCATCCACACAACTGCTGCTCACTGGATATTTTCTCTTTTTCGGATCATTCTCTGTAAACCCGAGAGATGGTTGTGTGTGAAAATCCCAGTGGATCATCAGTTGCTGAAATACTCGGACCAGTCTGTCTGGCACCAACAACCATGCCACGTTCAAAGTCACTTAACTCCCCTTTCCTCCACATTCTGATACTCTGTTTTAGGGCTGCAACAACTAATCGACATAATCGATTATAATCGATTATTGAAAAAGTTGTCAACTTTTTCAATCATCGATTAATCGGCTTCTGGTTAGTTGGCCCTGTTCACGTGCCGCACCTCCTCACCACCTCACGCTCGCCACTGCCAGACCCGCCCGCATTCACACGCTGCACCTCCTCCCCGCCTCACGCTCACCGCCCTCCCACATCCACGATTGGCACAGGGACGCGGGGAGAAGAAGGAGGAGGTGTGGGGGGATGACAATCGCCGATAGACAGGCCCTATCTCAGAAGCAAGTTGCTGTAAGACTGCTCAGGTAAGCCTGCAATCCCCCCCACATGGTGCTCTATAATGTATTGCTGGGATTTGTATTCCTCTATATCCAATGGTACATTGTGCTGTATATTATACATAGGACTACAAATCCCAGCAATAGTACATTATACACTGTATGTATAATGTACTATTGCTGGGATTTGTTGTACTCCTCTATAGCTGGTGGTATTCTGCATTGCGCTGTATAGAGGACTACAAATCCCAGCAATAACACATTATACAGCGCAATGCGGAATACCACCAGCTATAGAGGAGTACAACAAATCCCAGCAATAGTACATTATACAGTGGTGCAATGCCGAATACCACTAGCTATAGAGTACTACAAAACCCAGCAATAGTACATTATAACAGCGCAATGCAGAATACCGCCAGCTATATTGTATTGCTGGCATTTGTTGTATTCCTCTATAGCTGGTGTTATTCTGCATTGCGCTGTGTAATATATTATTGCTGGGATTTGTAGTCCTCTATAGCCGGTGCCATTCTTTAAAATGTATTTTATTTTTTAACCGATTAATCGAACTCAATCGGCTAACTAATCGATTTTGAAAATAATCGTTAGCTGCAGCTCTACTCGGTTTGAACTTCGTCGTCTTCAGCACGTCTAGATGCCTAAATGCGTTGAGTTGCTGCCTTGTGATTGGCTGATTAGCAATTTGTGTTGACAAACAATTGAATAGGTGTACCTAATAAAGTGGCTGTTGAGTGTGTGTGTATATAAACAAAACATTTTCACTTCTGTCTTTTAAAGACCATATATTGTGCATTAATGATTGCAAAAAGCTTTAATTAGCATACCAGCAAAGCCTTCCATCTCATTTAAAACCCTGCACACTTGTTGAACTGATTGCCCTAGGTTGGTTATGGTTTGTTATGTTCCGTTGGTGGAAAATGCGTAATTTAGGGAAGTCACCTAAGCATATATTTTTGTTTCCGTTTACTTCGCCCATTTTTGAAAGTGAAGCGAAACAACACCAAGGACAGAACACCAAAAGCGGCCAAGTCAATAAAAGGGAAAAAAAAATCAAAGGATAAATGCTATTGAGCATAAATCTAGAATATAACGAATCCCATACAGAATATTAGAAGGTGCTAAAACACTGTGCAAGATTACTGCGCCTACAGTCTTGTTTTATATGGTCATTAAATTCTCATTGCCCTCTATTTTCTTTGGAAACTACTGGAGGGATACCTTTTTATTTACTACCTTTTTTATTATATAATTTTTTTTTGTGAACAGCAAACACCCTCCATGTTCTTTGCATGCATCTGTCAGTGCCTCATGTCAGTAAATTAGGTAATGACCAGCAGCTTATTGGGGGCCATAAGTGCCCTGCTTTTGATACTGTTCTGCATTCTTCTGGATGTCCTTTAATTTCATGCTCAGTTTGTTTCTCATATGGGCAAAAATGGAACATTTCAGAAGATGATCTTTACTTTTGTTTTTCTGTAGTTGATGATCACAAAGGTGAAATCTCGGGCTCATTGTTTTTACACTGGTAATCATTATCACACCTTGGGGTTCCAAAATACAGTTGGCTCCTTTCTATCATGTGCTGTATGAGATATTGCATCATAATAGGAAGTGTGTAAAGTAAGCAAATTACTCAAGGAATGGCTGTAAGAGAATGTCAAAATAATGCACTGAAATACAGCCTATTAATTTCTTTTTTCTTTCAAAGATATGAAACTACACTATGGAGATCTTACTGACAGTACGTGTTTGGTCAAAATAATTAATAATGTGAAACCTACTGAAATCTATAATCTAGGAGCTCAGAGCCATGTAAAGGTAAGGCGTTTCACATTTCCTTATGTTTACACTAGCATTATAATGGTTCTAAAGTTTGGAATTGGTGCACATTATGAAACCAGGAGAAAGCTTATTTTCAGTTTTTTTTGTTTTGTTTAATTCTAAAAACAAAATCATAAGTATCTAGCTAGAGTTATTTCTTATCCATGGAGGAACACTGAGTTTTTCACCTTTTTGGGTTATACTGCAACCTACTCGAGGATTAAACACAGTTGTGGAAAAAAAAAAAAAACAGACTTGCATGGCCCCCAGTGATGGTGCTGACATCCGCAGCCCAAAGTCATGATTGTCCTCAGCACCTAGAATCTATCACATCATTTTCTTTATCTCTGTAGAGTGTGGCTGCATCCACTGACCTTTCCGTTGAGGTTTTTACTACACATGCAAAACTTCATGGCCCAAGTCATACAGTTATTTGCTGACTCTATACACAATGGTCAACAGCACACTGAGGCACCCCTTCTTGCAGATTCTGAGTTTATCCAGCTTGCTTCTGAGGAGCCACAGTCTACTGCTTTTAATCCCAAATTTAAGGAGAAAGTTAAACTCTTATTGATTCTGTGTACACCACTCTAAAATAGAATAGCCAGTTGCTTCAACTAGTGTTCTAACCAATTTTTTTTGGTCCTTTTAAAGCGCCAAACTTACAAAGACTTTCACTTTGCATCCACTTTTCAAAATCTTTACGGAGATTGGAAACCTCATAAGCACTTGGGGAAGAAAAAGTTTATTAGCCTTGTACCTGTTTAGGGAGGATTTTGCGAAAAGGGGTCTATTTCCACTGTGGATCAGGCAGTGTCCTGCCTTAACAAGGTGCTTACTTTTCCTGTATAAGGCACACCTGCTTTTAAGGACCTAACCAATAAGTGTTTGGAAGCCCTTTCTAAAACTCTGGTGGTTCCTGCTTTTCACCCGATACTGGCTGTGTTTACTTTGTTAAACCATGTTTAGTAAAAGAAAAATCCCTCAAAAGAAACCCAGCCACTGCGGCAGGTTGGTCCTTTGCTTATAGAATGCAATGGCTGTTGGCTTTAAATTTCAATTGTGGTGGTCTTCTGGAAGCTGTTTTTTGTGGACTCCTACTGCAGCCTTTTACTCCTCTTCCTCAATGGTGCGCATGTGAGCCATTTCTTTCGACTGCTAATACAGCCTATTCCTCCTCTTAATCTAATCCTGCCATTTCCCCGATTTGCCACTGACTGGCTAAGTTGAGTCAGCAGAAGTTTTGGTATGATTTTTTTTTTTTTTATCACCAGAACCTGCCCAGGCTTCTGGTGAGGAGGAGTATTAAGCTGATGGGAGAGAAGGAAGAAATCTTGGGCCCCAGCCCGAGAAAATGTTACAAAAAAGCTGTCACATTTCCTGATGGTGGCTTCATCCACTGTGATGTTGACATAGCTACTGGATGGCCTTGTAGACATAGCCACAAGGTGGCTTTTATTTGACCACAAGATGGCTTTTTATTTGATTTTATTTGACTCACACAGGTAAGACAAAATACTTGCCCTTTCCTCCAGCGATGCAATGTCTGCAAGCTTCCTCGCCACAGCGTTGACATCTTTGCCCAGCCTCAAGTCCAGTATCTTGAACTGTCTTGATTATCCAGGATGAAGTAACTACTGTGCTTGCACACAGGAGTTAATTCTTCCCTGCACCAAAGCTTGCCGAGATTGCACACAGAGCTGCAGCTCAGTGTATGTTAAGGAGGTGCTTGCGAGCAAGTAGGTAATTCATCTCTTCTGCAATAAATGGCTTGCCTTCTCGTAAACTGCAGCTACAAATGATGAAATATTATACAGCAAATTTAAATGCTTTTTGCACAATCTGAATATGAGATGGTCTCACAATTTGATCCTATTCCTCTATGGTCAAGTCATTATAATCTTGGAGCTCAACTAAAAAAGTTGTGCATCCCAGTCTTAACAAGTCTCGCAACGTGGTAAGAATCTGTCATTTCAACCCAAAATCACAGCAATGCTTAGTACTGTAAAATTATGTCTGCTCAGCAGCTATAAATTGATTACCACACAGTACTTTACTGAATGCTGACCTTGCAGTTATTTACTGGGCATACCAAAGTTGTGGCCTAACTACTTCTAATGTTTAATGTTTTAATGCCCTAAATTAAGGTATAATGCAATGAAACACCTTGAGTATCTGTGAGAAACAAGTTATTAAAGCAATTGTAACATAGCCTTGGGACATATTTAGACAATGGAGTTCTGTATTTTTGTGGATCTGATTGTAGTGTTTTAATGGGGAAAGACCTTACACTTCCTCCAAACAAAACAGTTGATGCACATTTGCTGCACATCGTAAATCTACAGGTCTTTTTAGATACTTTTTTAATGTCTACATGTAATTATTTCTAAATATCATGCAATAATTGAACATCATTAAACTTCCATTCATTGTATGGATTTTTCACTTATACGCACACTATAGTCTATTGGTATGTAAGGCCTTTTTAGTGTAAATGTAAATATATTAACATTGCACAGGTTAGTTCTTCTTTACCATTCCACTAATTTTAGGCAGTTAGAACTGTGAGTTCTAGATGATGTTTTTTTGGTAACCATTTGTAAGATGATAAAACACATGATTTTTTCTCTAAATTAAACATGGAAGAGAAAGTTGGCAGAACATAAAGAGAAAGTTGGAAACCTTGCACAATGGTTATTAAGACTGTTTGAGAAAATCTGCCTAATGGGGACACAGACAGCAGTGAAAACCCAAAAGAAAAATCTAAAAAAAAAGTTTTGCATTTAGTTTTACTAAAATCACTAAACATGACCTATTACCTATAGTTTTTAACTTCCTTAAGAAAGAAAAGAATGCAGTGTCTGCCATACATTTTTTGCTTACAGTGAAAGGAAACCCAGTTTGCACTCTTCAGTTTGAAACCCTTGATATCAGTACTTCCCTATTTTCAGAGACTCAATCAACCCCCCAAAACGTAATTTTATGGTATTGCATTGACTCTGAGATGCAAATTGCTTGTGAGCACACTTTAAAGGTTATTTCCTCTGGGTGCCCCAGTTTCCTCCCACAAGCCAAAAATATAACTAGGTTGGTAAGGTTCTTCCCAGATTGGGTCTGTGTAAGTTGTTGGGACATTAGATGACCGCTTGTTAATGTAAATGGTTCATTGTACAATAGAAAGCACTTTGTAATATGTACTGGGGAAAAAAGTAATTAGTGAAGGTACGTGATTCTTGAAGAAACATAGCCTTTTGTTTATATTTAGTACATGGGTGGTATTTATAGTGTATATGTAAATATGCATATATGAAGATAGAGAATATATATATATACACACACACACACGCGCTCAGTAGTTGCTAACCTGGAACATTGCAAGGTTCAGTAAACGTGGGATGAGAGGTGGTAAAATGTATGGTGTCATTTTAAAACCACAATGAGGACATTATGGTATTTCCACACAAATCCCTTCTGTGCCCATCCTAATTAGGAATTGTGCAACATTTACTGACAGACTGTCCATTGGTAACATCACTTACTGACTCATAACGTTGGCTCCACAATCCTCCTTTTCTCTGCCCTGCATGACAGTATGAACTCAACAAGTCGGCTGCTCACAGCGTCTGTTGGAGGATCATGACTCTTGGCAATGCTCAAGAATATTTTACTCATAGCTTCTTGGGGAATTTGGGAATTTGTCAGTTTCAACAAGTTATATTTCTGAAATCAGTTTTACTTAAGGCCCTGAAGAAATTTAACTATTTAACAAGATCGTGGAGCACCATTTGCACTTTCATACTCCGAAGTCAACTGCATATAGGTAGTGACTTGCATCATAAGCACTGTAATTTGGGAATGTAGTCAGAATTTAATCTAGTGACTCCAGTTGACTCAGATCACAGCTGTAGCTGTGAAAATTATGTATGTGAAGAGAAATGTCATATCTTTGAACCTGACCCCCACCTCTTCTACTGCTTTTTCATACAATTGTTAGGATAAATAAAGTTTTCTTCAGGAATGCAGTTTAATAAAGTAAGTGTTTTAACAATGTCACATTAACAAAAAAAAAAAAAAAGCTCAAGTGATATGTTTTGGACACAGATGACGTATAGTTTTTTTGTCTTTTTTTCTGTTTATTTTGGCTTGTATTTGTGCAGAATAACGTTTTCTATCACTCTCACTTCCAGTCAGTTTTATGTGGGCTGTGCAGAAAGCAAGGAAAATAAAATAATAGGAAGTTGGTCTGGTTTCCTGAAGGAAACCAATGAAGATGAAATTGGTTCTTGGAATGAATACACAGGGTCTGGGAAGGACCGTCCAAAGAGCTTGCACTGAATCATAAATAGTAAGCACTGTGACTCAGATGTTGCACACAGACTGGCTTAATGCAGTCTTGTTGACGCAATGTGGGAGAAAGCAATCTGACTTCTACTTATGAGTGTCTTAAAATAGAAAGCCTCAGAACCATGACTTCATGCTGATGGAGATTGGTGGAACAGACTGGGCACTGAGCACTTTTAGCCATTCTTAGGGGGTGTGGTTTGGGTAGTAGTGACCTGTATTCATCTGTCTGAGCAGCAAAGTCTAAAACAGTAGCTCATTCACATCAGAGGCGTTTGCAAGTCTTGGATATGAAAAAAAAGATTGTTGCCTGTAACATATGGTAAAACTCACATAATTAATGCATTATGGGGAATTTTTGTGAAGTCTTCTTAAACGTAATAAGCTGCTGTGAATTGACACTTTACTAAAGTACAAACAGTCAAAAATAGTATACCACGCTTTCCCTGTGTTCTGGGAAGACAAAGCAAGGACCTACTTTCTTAATTTTTGGTATCGTATCCAAGTTAAGGTGGAATGGCTGCTGTTAGCACCAGAAGACAAAATATGAGGGAGAATGCGAAACACAAGGGGAAATTTATCAAAACTGGAGCAGACAGAATCTGGAGCAGTGGCTCATAGTAGCCAATCAGTATCTCTGAAGAGAGCAGCAGATT